TTATTATTTTTGTTTTGATTTATTTTGTCGTTTTATTTATTATTGTATTATTTTCTTTTACTTTTATATTTTTTGTTGTGATGTTTTGTTTTTTTATTTTGTTCTGTTTATTATTGTATTTCTTTTATTTTTGTTTGTTTTGTAATGTTTTGTTTTAATTAATTTTATTTCGATTTATTTTGTTATATTTTTGGATTTAGTTTTATGTTATTTTAGAAATGTGTAATGTGTTTGTTTGTTTATTACTTATTTTAAAATGTTTTCCACAAAATACTTCAGTGATATATTTTAATTAATTTATATATTTATCAGTAATTTATTAGTTAAAAACCTTGGAATCCCTAAAAAAAATTCACTCAGAACATCTTTGCAATCTATCATTAGGATGATTATTTTTGCATGTGCGAGAACCACCAGGTGTCTGTGAAGTAGCCATAATGGAAAATAATGCAAATGCATGAACTGTGTTTAATATATGTAAATTAGTCCTGTGTGAGTTAAAGGACTCACCAAAACTAAAACCGGTCATCATTTAGTGGCCCGTATGACCTTTTCTCCAGGTGTTTTTTCCAGGTGTTCTGCTTGAGTCTCAGATGTGATTAAGAATGACACGTCCTGATGTTCTGTAAGGTCACAGACGCAGTAAATCTTTAGTGTTCAGCAGACTGAAAACACATCTACTGTTCATCTGTACCAGTCTGTCCTGATCCTGCAGCCTCGACTCCGTCTCAGTTGTGTCCGTTTACTTCGTTTTTGTCCAAAGTGATTGTTCTAGTGAAGATATAGCAGAATTGTATTTTCATGTAAGTGAAATAGCAGCTGTAAAACATGACGTCTGGAGATTTTGGGCAGTTCGTTTTGAAAGAAATTGATGCTTTTATTCAGCAAGGATGCCTTGAGTTCATCAAAAGTGACAATAAAGACAAAATATTTCTTTTTCAAATAAATGCTGATCTTTTGGACTTTCTATTCATCAAAGACAAAAATATCCACAGAACAACTGTTTTCAACATTGACGGTAGCAGACATGTTTCTTGAGCAGCAAATCAGAATATTCTAATGATTTCTGAAGGATCACGTGACACTAAAGACTGGAGTAATGATGCTGAAAATTCAGCTTTGCATTACAGAAAAAAAATTACACTTTGCAATATATTCTAATAGAAAGGAGTTATTTTGAAATGTAATAATATTTCATAATTCTACAGTTTTTACTTTATTTTTAATCAAATAAATGCAGCATTGGTGAGCAGAAAAGACTCCAAACTTTTGAATGATAGTGTATATCGACACACTCAGCGGCATCATTTGAGGACAGACAGAGCAATGTTTAATGCCACAAAGTACTACAGTATTACACTTTTACTTACTGTTGGCTTACTTACAGTTGTTTCTGCATGTTTAACTGCGATGGAAATGATATTTAAAAAACACACAGTTCACCTCTGGAAACTATAACCTATTTTTAAACGCGGCACTGAGCAATCTATCATTTTGACACAAAATGTATTTTTGACTGTGGAATAGAATATTCAATCAATGAAATGCAGTGTAGGTTATGAGCTGCTGCTGCATTTCTGTTTTCTTTCCTTTTCTTTATAGAGAGTTTTGTACTGCATGTTTGGAAGCTCTAAAACACTCATTTCTGATGCTAAAAATGACTTAAAATGTCACTTTACTTCAGTATTACGATCAGATGGCATGACTGAGTTCACACAAATGAAGCTGTTTTTATGAAAGTCATTGTGCCTCACATTTCCACAACAATAATACAGAAAACACGGGGGATGAGGGAATTTATATCACAGTAGTGGTTTATGTTATGATACACAGAAGTTATTCATTGAAAACTAATTGTGTATAAATAAAACGTGCATTAATTACACCAATATTCATATTTTGGGGATTGGGTTTTTTAATGTTTTTGAACATGCTTAATGCTCATCAAGGCTGAATGTTTATTTGTTGAAAAATACTGTAAAAACATGTGAAATACTATTACTGATTTAAATAACTGGTTTCTATTTGAATATGTTGTAAAATATAATTTATTCCTTTGATCAAAGCTGAATTTCCATCATCATTACTCCAGTGTAAAGAAATCATTCTAATATGCTGATTTGCTGCTCAAGAAACCTTTCTGATTATTATCACTGTTGAAAACAGTTGTGCTGCTTCACATTTTTTTTGAAAGCGTGATACATTATATTTTTCAGGATTCTTTGGTGAATAGAAAGTAAAAAAAAAACAGCATTTATTTAAAAAATGAATCTTTTGTAACATTATAAATGTCTTTACTGTCAGTTTTGATCAATACAATGCATAATTTCTGAATAAAAGTATTAAATTCTTTAAAAAATAAGTGTATATATTATCCAGTTAATTACTAAAATAAAACATACCATGTTTTATTTTATTTTGTGTTTTGTCTTGTTTTGTTTTGTCTTTTGTTTTGTTTTGTTTTGTTTTGTTTTGTCTTGTTTTGTTTTGTTCAAACCAAAAACAGACACATCCTGCTCTCTATTTTCAGATTTCTCTGTTTTCATGCTCAATCTCACATTTAAATAATAAAAAGCAGTTCTACTCTTTGATAGCTGTGCACTGATGCATTTACCACAGTATCAACAATGGAGTATAATTTCCTAATACAACATATTGAAGCGACTGCTGCTTTCATATACATCCTCATTTTCATGCGTGTCAGATTAAATCTGCGGTCCGCTGTGACTAAAGTCTATAGCCTGTCATCAGTCTGTCTGTCCATCTGTTGATTCAGTAAAGCTCACTTGCATTATTAATGTCTGCAGTCACATTAAGCAGCCATTTTTCAGCAGCTCATTATAAACAGATTGTATCTGTTGGCCCTGATGAGAATCTCTCCATCTCTCCGTTACAATGCAGGAGTCAAACGTCCTCCAGATCCGTGATGTTAGCGCTCGCTCGCACTCTTTATCTTAGTCAATCAGAAATTCATTCGGCTCGTATCGCGCCGCCCCGCTCGAGATTAAAGGATGATTAATAAGGCTTCTGATGCGTTTACACAGCCAGAGCCTTTTAAGACGACTTACAATTCAGTCGCTGATATCCAGTGGCGCTAATGAGATGTCAAACATCTGACAGACGCTCACACATGAGGGGTCAGACATTAACATCGCCGCTCGCACTTTCATGGTGGAAATTAATAATAAGAAACTTGTCCGATGTACTTCAGCTGGTGACTTTTGACACTTGATATTGAAGCATCGGCTGGTGTTTCTCAAGTGTCCTCACATGACAGTTTGATAATGTTGGACTTTAGGCTACCTAGCAGAACAGCTGAACATGAAATAAAAGTGGATTTTATGTATTAAACTATTTAATTTCCTAATACACGTTCCTTGTCATGTGGGTGTTCATTAAAACAAATTAATTAATGTATTTATTTATTTAACATAGCCTTTCATCATATATATTTTAATTGCTCTTCCTCTGAAATTATTTTCCTTTTCAGTTCACATCATCTTGGACAGTAATAATGTTAACTGGCTATAATATAAATAATCTGTTCATATTAAATTTTATGTTGTAGTGTATTGCAGTACTATCTATCTATCATCTATCTGTCTGTCTGTCTTGTCTATTAATGAAATCATGTTCTTGTTGTTATGTGTTATTTAAAAGGAGTGCCTTTATTTATTTATTACAATTTGTTTCTTAAATCATATTCTTGGTGTTATGTGTGTCATTCAAAAGGAGTGCCTGTATTTATTTTATTTTATTTTAAAAGAAAAATGTTCAAAAATTGTATTTATTTATTTGTTTGTTTGTTTTGTTTTGTTTTTACTTTTGACCTTTCAGCAAATTGTACTTGCTCTGCTTCGAAAACTACTTTAGTTTTTGATGTCCATCATCTTGGACAGTAATAATGTTAAATTGGCTGTAATATAAATAATCTATTTATATTGGATTTTATTTTGTAGTGTATTGTAGTGTATTTGGGCTTTTAATTATTTATTTTAAACTATTTAATTTTTCAATACATGTTCCTGGTCTTATGCATGCAATTTCAATCAAATGCATTTATTTATTTACATATAAACCTTGACCCAATTGATCTTGCCTTTGAATTTTTTTTTCAGTTGATGTTGTCTTACATAATAATAATGTTAATTCTCTGTAATGTAAATAATCTGTTAAATAAGTGTTTATTTCAATGTTGTTGCGTTTCATTGTTTATTGAAAATCCCCAACCCTGCATAATTGAATCAAAAACTCTCATATATCAATAGAAAAAGTGTCATTGCTATATTGTTGCAAGCAAAAGCTTTTAATACAAAACATGCTGTATGTATTGCTTGCTTTATTTCCATCTTATGTGTCTTGAGACTCCTGCTTTCTGTTGGGAAATGGTAGGAAAAGGTCTATATTACATACATTTACAGACCAGTGAGTGAACACGACTGCTTCTCAAATTATGTCACATTACAGATGTGAAATGATCTGGACGTTCAGCACTTTGAGTCTGTTCATCACGGTTTGATTGCAGACTGTCATTTTGCAGTGATTTGAGTCTCTCCGTTCTGTTCTTCCTCTCCGTTCGCTCTTTCTCCTTTTCTTCAGCGGTGACGCAGTTAGAGAAGTATATAAAGATTTCTTGTTCTCTCTCAGTTCATTAGCGACGGCCTTTATTGAATAAGTGGATAGAACGTTTTTAAGTCTCTCTAATATCCTCCTAATGTGGTCTCAGTGTGGCGGAGTTAAAGACCTGATTAAATTTATCATCTGTAGTTGATGTGCTTTCTCGCCGCACACTGAACGTGGCTGTAGCTCTGTGTCAGGAATGACATTATTCTGTGTTTAACTGGCTGTGTTTGTGGTTCATTTTCTACAGACTGTGGTTAAGAAAAAAACACGCTCATTTAAATATGAAAATGAATGGATAAAGTATGGCTGTGATGTCGTTTGCACTAGTTCTCGTTGAACAGACAGTGGCTGACGTGATTTTTTTTCTCTGATTCCAGAGTCTTCCTGCGAGCCATCAATCAGTACGCTGCCGTACTCAGCAAGAAGTTCCTTGATCAAACCAACTTTGAGCTGCAGGTGAGAATCTTTTTTTTTATATATTGCTTGGAACAAACGTGGAGATTTTGGTCCCCATCCACTGCCAGTATATGCTAAATCCCCTTATATATATAAATATCAGTGTGGAATGTGTGGCGGAGTTAAAGACCTGATTAAATTTATCATCTGTAGTTGATGTGCTTTCTCGCCGCACACTGAACGTGGCTGTAGCTCTGTGTCAGGAATGACATTATTCTGTGTTTAACTGGCTGTGTTTATGGTTCATTTTCTACAGACTGTGGTTAAGAAAAAAACACGCTCATTTAAATATGAAAATGAATGGATAAAGTATGGCTGTGATGTCGTTTGCACTAGTTCTCGTTGAACAGACAGTGGCTGACGTGATTTTTTTTCTCTGATTCCAGAGTCTTCCTGCGAGCCATCAATCAGTACGCCGCCGTACTCAGCAAGAAGTTCCTTGATCAAACCAACTTTGAGCTACAGGTGAGAATCTTTTTTTTTATATATTGCTTGGAACAAACGAGGAGATTTTGGTCCCCATCCACTGCCAGTATATGCTAAATCCCCTTATATATAAATATCAGTGTGGAATGACATGAGGGCAAGTTGACGTAGTCCTGGTCATGTGCATTTATGTATGTATAGTATACTATTTATATATTTATTTATTTATTCATTCATTCAAACTTGCTTGGCCTCTAAAACTACTTTCCTTTTCAGCTGAAATAACTTTGAACAGTAAAAATGGATTTAATGTAAATAGTCTGTTTATATTGGCTTTCATATTGTGGTATATTACCGTATTTATTGAATTTATTTGTTTTATAAATACATGTTATTTATTCATTTATTTTCATTTTTTATTATTTATTTATTTTTACATTTATTTTATTTTATTTGTCATTTTGTTTTATTGATCTTTTACATAGCTTTTTCATTTGACATACTTTTAGATAATAATGTTAATTGGCTGTAATGTACATAATCTGTTTATATTGGGTTTTATATTGTAGTGCATTGCAGCATTTATTAAGTTGATTTATTTTATACAATTCAGTTTCTTAATACATGTTCCTGGTCATGTGCATGTTGTTTAAGAGAAATTTACTTTACTTTACTTTTGTGTTTTGCCTTGCATATGACCTTTCATCTAAAGAAGAAACCCGCCTACAAAGTTTCTTTTGTTTTCACTTTTCATCTTGAGTGATTAATAATGTTTAAAAAAAAAAATATGTAATGTAATTAATCTGTTAAATGGGTGTTTACTTCATCGATGCTGTCTGCATTTCTTTTGTTGTCGTTTAATTACATTATTTGTAAATGTTGGAATTATACCACCTAAATTGAGTCAAATTTTGTGTTCAATGCAAGAGAGAAAATCAGTTTAAACATTTTTAGGTGAACTGTCCATTTAATAGTGTACCTGTATAATGCATTAAGACTAGGCGTGCTACCAGAAAACAACAAAAACAAACATATAGTCTTATTTATGAAAAGCACATTTTTTAATCGTCACTTTTGGCCTGGTTGTGTTAGAGGAAGTTCCAGCAGGGATCATTAAAGTTCTCTACCAGAATAACTCATGACAGGCTAATAGACTGCAATTTCCCAGCATCTGATTTGAATATTTGAAGCGGCTCTTCTCTGAGCTTTGTGCTCGTGTTGGTTGTTGCCGTTTGGTGGTTATTCTTATCCCAGTCCTCGTTTTACCCATGAACCCATCTGGCGATGCACACTCTGGCTTTCAAGAGACAATGAATTATTTTGAAATAATTGTTGAGTGGCATCAGCTCTTCTGTGCTTTAAATAGCAGTGTGTGCACAGACTGTTGCTCATACTTATTGTTCGTACTTATTGCTCATACTTTGTTCAAATCTTTCACACTAAGTGTTAAACTAGTATGCATAACCCATTCCTCATTCTCTGTGTTATAAAAATGAGTGATTCCTCAAATGTCTTGATGAGCATTACTTTAATAACTGATCTCTTCTTTTTCTCTCAGCTGTGGAATAACTACTTCCACCTCGCTGTGGCATTCCTTACCCAAGAGTCTTTGCAGCTGGAGAACTTTTCGAGTGATAAACGGGCCAAGATCTTCCACAAGTGAGCATTTGTATCACAGACACCTACCCACAATGCACTGCTGCATAATACGAATCATTCATTCACCCTCAGGCCATTCAAGATGTAGATGAGTTTTT